AGATGCTGTAAAATCACTACTTGTCTTCTCTGTGTTGCGCAGCCCTCCCCATGCCCCCCACACACTATACATGCTAATCGTAATGCCCTCTTTCTTTTTCCCCGCCCTTATCCCTCCCTTCCCACCCATCATCCCCAGTCCCTTTCCCTTTGGTACCTATTAGTCCATTCTTGGGTTCTGTGATTCTGCTGCTGTTTTGTTCCTTCAGTTTTCCTTTGTTCTTATACTCCCCATATGAGTGAAATCATTTGGTACTTGTCCTTTTCCACCTGGCTTATTTCACTGAGCATAATACCCTCTAGCTCCATCCATGTTGTTGCGAATGGTAGGATCTGTTTTTTCCTATGGCTGCATAATATTCCATTGTGTATATGTACCACATCTTCTTTATCCATTCATCTACTGATGGACATTTAGGTTGCTTCCATATCTTGGCTGTTGTAAATAGTGCAGCGATAAACATAGGGGTGCATCTGTCTTTTTCAAACTGGAGTACTGCAGTCTTAGGGTAAATTCCTAGAAGTGGAATTCCTGGGTCAAATGGTATTTCTATTTTGAGCATTCTCAGGAACCTCCATACTGCATTCCACAATGGTTGAACTAGTTTACATTCCCACTGAGATTTCTTTTTAAGATTATTTGAAACTTGGTACTCAGTTGAAGAAATAAAAATACTTAAAAAGTATTTGTCAGGAATTTATTGAAATATGTCATGATAATGAGGCTTTCATTAGATGTCCCACATATGCATTCATCCAGCTCTACTGTCACTGCATATGTCTCAAAAGGGTCACAGTCTTTTAGGAATTTGTGTTATATAAATATACTTACAGGTGGTATAGTTAAACTCTCTCATTTCGTAAATGAGGAAACTTCATAAATAGTAAGTATGGGCAGGCAATTTCAGGAAGAATACATGGGAAATAAAGAGGGAAAAAGGAGGCACGATTTAATTGGCCAGACCAGTAGGATTAACATGTTCTCTTGATGGGAAAACATATATCAGATCAGTCTCAAAGGTGAGAATCAGTTACCTAGAATCAAAAACTTGCCATTACTAGTGCTAAGACTTGAATCATCTCAAAATGATTTGTAAGTGCATCTTGAAATGAACAAAGAAGATGTGTACTGTAAGACCTATTACTCTGTTTCTGTGTCTGTTTGCACATGCATGTGTGTTTGGTGCCAGTAAAATTAGGAAGGGGACATTGGATGACTGATAGTGAGGCCATGTGGCACAATGGGACAAGGGACACTGAGGTAGGGGGTCTTGTTTCTAATTGTAGGACTTTATGTGAATCCTAATAATCTTGAATAAATTGCTGCACCTTTACTTTGCAAAAGTTTCTTCATCTACAAGTTGAAGGGTATATACTCTGTGTTGACAGCTTAGCTCTAGAATTCTTGGATTCTGAGATTTTTTTTTTGGACCAAAAAAAGAAAAAAATGAGAACAGGTTAAAAAAAATCCCCAATTTCTATCTTGTAACCCAGAAAATACCAAAGGAAAAGTTGAGATCTTTGGTACTTTTCTTTATGAGGATGTTGGGTGTGGCAGTGGAGCTGGTGGTGGTGTGATGGCCTCTCACGATTGCTGTGCTGCTTTTCCTAGTAAGCATGCTTCCATTTCACTGTGGAGTGCCTCTGCCATACTGGGTTATCACTGATGAGATGGTCATGAGGGCATCATAGTTCCCATGTGGTTGGGGAGGGAAGGGTAAATGGTTGAAATTCCCTGCTTCTGGCTGGGAATGGGGAGGGATACCTTTACTGTTGGGACATGAGAGGCAGACAAAGAATGGTCAGCAGTTGGAGCTCCTTGGGAAGACACGGACAGAGTGTGACACAGTTGTCATCATATATCAGCGTTTTCCTCTCTTAGCCATTCAGACCACTGTAACAAAATCCCAGGTGGCTTCTAAATGCCAGAAATTTATTTCTCCCAGTTCTGGAGGCTAGAAGTCCAAGATCAGAAGCGTGGTTGGGTTCTTGTGAGGGCCCTTCTCTGGGTTCAGGCTTCTTGCGGTGTCCTCACTTGGTGGAAGGGGTGCGGCAGCTCTCTGGAGCCCCTTGTATATAGGCAGTAATCCCATTCATAAGGGCTCCTCCCTCATGACCTAAATAAGGTCCTACCTCCTAATACCATCACCTCTAGGGGTGTTTAGAGGAGATATATATGTTCAGACCATGGCACTTCCCCTGTGGAAAACACCTGAAAACTGGGTGCAGGGATTTTAGAGAATGATCTCTATATATCCTCCGACACCCTCCTCAAGAGAGACAACTTTGGACTTTGCTCTCCAGCTGTCCTGCCTGAGTCCTACAGAGCGGTCACTACCATCCTTTTTCTTCAGCGGCCTGAGGACACTTTCAGTTCTCGGCTTGTGTGTGAGAGCTGCCTATTTGAAAGCCCCCCGAGATGGACACTGTAGTGTGGACCTGCAGGTGTATCAGGTGGGGGCGTCCTGTGATACCCTCAAGGTCCTCGGGTAACTAATGACTAAAAATAAGGTTGGTTTCCCATGTTAGAAGTATTTACAGAAATAGTCTTTCTTAAAAGAGCCCAGAGCATTGGCCAGCGTGGTGACTGGTTCCCAGATACATGAGAAGATGACTGATGTTGGCTTCTTTTCTGAAATCCAGTGATGCCACTACCCCCCCACTGACAGCAGCCCCAACCCCCAACACACAGAGGCAGCTGCGTTTGCTCGTGCCTATGGCCTGGAACTGCTGGAGGCAGAAGGGATTTCACTCTCTGTGCAGTGGAGAATATGGAGAATATTTCAGTGTGTCTGGCAATTTTAATATTGTCCATAAAGTGCCTAGTAGGAGTTAGAATTGATTATTTTTAATGGGTCAGACACCATCCTGAGCATTGTTTCCCTTGGATCTGAACCTCAGAGTAGATAGGACTGTTGGCTCCTCTGTGCTCCACTGTGTGGGTGAGGAGACTGAGGCATAGCTGCCCCCTTCCTGCTGGATGGTGGCAGAGCTCAGGCTTTGGCACAGGTAGGCTTAACTACTAGGTGTTCTCCCTCCTTCATAGAGGGGCAGTGACTCCGGGCAGCTTCCTCCAGATCAGAAGCCAAGTAGGAAACTGGCTGGAGGGAAGGCAACCAGGGTGTCCTGAAGGCAGGGAGTGCACGATGGCCAGCAGCCGCCTCTTGTGCCACTTCTGAGTGCCTCACTGTAAAGGTGCGTTTGTGTGGGTGCAGGGTCTACCGACTGCTCTTAGAGGAGTAATGGTCTCCACATCACATAAGGCGAGAGTTTGGCCCACCTCTAGATGCTAGCTTGCCTCTGGGGTGCCCACCCTGGCAGTTCCACTCCTCTCTTCCCTCCACGCACTGAGTCCGCACTCGCTCCCCTGCAGGGAGATCTTTCTGTTGGAACCCCTCCTTCTGCATGGTGCCTGACAGAATAAAGATAGACTCTGTTGCTGCCATGTTCCCTCCTCAAAGACATCCCTAGTCTGGTTCTGCACAGAGCATGAGGACTTGACTTCAACGAGAGAGAGGGGAAGTTTTCCTACACGTGGCTTTGTGGTGGACATGGCATGTGCCAAGCAATGCTTCTGGGAATTTCTTGGACATTATTTCAGAGGTTAAACTAGAGGCGCAGAAAGAGTGTGGTAAAGGGGCCTGAAGAAATCCCTATGGTGGTCTGCATGAGGCCATGGTCATTGGGCACAGGATGGCAGTGGCCTGGTGGTGGGGGACACGTTGTGAAACCTGAGTGCCAGAGGCAGTTCCTAGGACTGCCGAGAGCACCCTAAGAGGGAACTCAGTGCCATTCCTACTGCCATGCCGTGCGCTGATGTCATTCCATCCCTGTTCACACAACGAGGTTGTTCCTTGCTTCTCTCAAGACTTTGCCCTGATGTGGCCGTCCCTTGTCATTTCTACAGGGACAGTGTCTTCACTTCTGACATCTACCCACCTCCCCAAATAGTGAAACTAATCTACTTTGATTCTTGCTGGTGATGGGAAAATTTTATTACTGTCTTAGTGCCATAGGAATGACCTGGGACCAGCCCATTATGATGACCTTCAGCTGCTTAGAGAGCCCGACCCCCACTCATACCTTCATAGGGTCTGTTTTCTGTTATATGCTAGTTTCTCCCTGCTTTATTGTTTACCCCTGGGCTGACATTCTCCCCTGCTCAGCCCCGAATGTTGTTCCTGCTGTACCAGCTTCTCATCTGCGTGACGTGGCTGGAGGTGGAGGCCAGGGCAGCTCACATGAGGAAGGAAGGCCAGTTTGTTATTAAAAGTTACAATAATAGAGCCCCCTGCCTAATGTAACTGATTTTTATGCTTTTTCCCTATACTCTGCTGATCTTGATCACATATTTCACTGTTCTCCCCTTCATTGTTGAGAACTAATAGTTTCTTTTTCTCTGATTTCTCATTTCACATCTGGGCAGCCAGAGCTGACTCTTTGAAGCCCTTGATGGCAGACCTACACGTTCATGCTGCTAAACTTGTTACGTACAGACTCCCTCCAACAGGATAGAACACTGTAATACTCAGGATTCAGCAATGTGGTTGAATTCAAAACCTGGACATGTTTTAATGATAAAGCGTGGTCAATGTAGGTGATCTGTAAGAATGAAGGCCCAGAAAGAGTGGTTTTATATTGTTGTACTTACCTTAAACTCAGTTTCGGGATCAAATGCCCACATCCTTATGTCTATTCCACAGAGATCAAGATGGCCAAGTAGTAGTTTACATTTCCCTTAGTCACACACATACACATGCACACAAACACCCTTCTTCTTTAATTTTCTTGCCAATCTCAAATATGTGTCTGCCGACAAATTGAATGTGACTCTGAATGTTGAGGGCCAAGGAAAACTGTGCTATGTACATTCTTAGCAGGAGGATGTTTTGGAAGCCAAAAATCATCAAGTTTTTTTCACTTGTTCTTGTAATTTTTATGACCTGTTATTTTTTTGGAGGTCTATTAAAATTAAAACTGCTCTCTTTTTGTGTTTTGTAGAAACTACCTCTTCAGGTTACAGCTGGAGGATTTGTCTCTGATCCAGGTAGGTGCGATTTGTATTTCTCAAGCTTCTCTTCTCTATCTCACTTAGTTCACTATTTGAGGGGGTGAAGATGGATGTGTGTAAAGGTATTAATCAGGGCAGAGCAGGGGTTCCTTTGTTCAGAGTGTCAGGCTGGAGGACTCTCGGCTGCCCTATTTGCTCTGAGTCATGGTCTCCTTTAATTCCCAGTTGGCCCTTTTATCCTCCTCACAGCCCCTCTTCCTTTCATGGGCATCATGAAAGGATATGCTCTTTGTCAAGTGGTACAGGATTCAAGGACATCTCCTCAATGTCTGGGATTGCCTCAGTGTCTTTTTACCCCAGTTAGTGTAATCGTTGATCATTTCATTTGATGCATTTAGTCATCATATTATTGTGAAAATCAACCCCCTTAGAAAAACATCTTTGTTTCCTCTTTATTATTTATAATGAAATAAATTTGAATATAGGGGTTAAAAAGCACATATATCAAAGAATTAGTGATGATAGATAAAATATAACATATCTGTTTCAGTTTTTGCACTTTGGAGAAGGAGCCTGAGATTCTTATGCCTGAATAGGGTATTTATTTTAGTGGCATATCTATAAAGGCCTGCTTTCACTCACCAGTCTTTTAGAAGGGTCTGATAACCAGGGTCTCCTTGGAGGAGGAGAGAGTTAAGATTCTGAATATATTCTTCACCAAGGATCGAGAACCTGCTCCCTGTGCATAGTTTGAGAAAAGTTCTTAAACCAATGTTATTATCACCCTCATGTACTAGAACTTTCAGAAGTGATTGGAGAGAAGTTTATATTATTTTCTTCTCTGTGTAATGCTGGTATTTGTGAATGAATACTCAGGAAACTTTAGAGTCAACGTTTCATATTAGATCTATCTCTTATTCTCCGGGGCCTTATAAATAAGCCAGTGCCACAAACAAAGCTAATACTGGGATGAGCAGGGGCTTTGCAGACTGGTAGACCTGGGTGAGCTGTCTAGCTCATGGCTTCTAGCAGCTGTGTGGGCTTCGTCCCCTGTGAGGTGGCCACAAAGCACTAGCCTCCCCATTATTTTCATTGCAAAAACTAAAGTAAGGCATGCAAAAGAGAAAAAGCCTGGTAATTTCTCAATAAATGTGAATTGCTTCATTTTTCAAGAAGTGATAATAAGAAATTATCATCATAGTCATTTCATCATACCACTCAATGAATTAATTGTCTTGCTACTGCAGTTTAGTATAGAACAAGTCTTTAAATAAGTTGATTGGTGGATAAAATCATGAGTGCATTTATAAGAAATTAGAATGATCAGTAGTGTAACCAAATACCATTTTGAAACTCCGATTTTAAATGATCATATAAAAACTATAGAGCTTTCAATAGAAACTGTATATTCTACTCATTTGATTCTTATGGTATAATGTATTATCTGGTGTGTTGTATGTGTTAAAAAGTAAAATATGTAGATGTGTGTGTACAAGTATTTGTTTACATGTACATATTCATTTATTTCCTAGTTTTCTAGTTCTCTTGGCTGAGAGGGTCTAGAAGCATTGTAATCCCAGAAGCAATGAGCTCACATCATACACAATATTTGGTTTCAAAACTTAATTCTCCACTAAAAGGAGCAATGGTTTCATGGAAAAGTAGCCGATTCTAGAGCCTGGGTAGCAAAAGTCCCAGAAAAGTCTGGAAAATCTTGCTTTATGAATTAAGGTAGTATTTAAAGAATAATAAGGGCAGGTCAGAAGGACTTAGGAGCCAGCTGGAAGTGGGTTCACTGAAGAAATCTGCAACAATGTGATTGTTAAAATAAATAATGATGGTATCAGTTTGTATTACATGGAATAAACTAAGAATCCATGAGTATATATGAACCTAAAAAATTAATAATGGATAAACAAATGAGGCAGAAGGGACAGCTCTTCCTTAAAAGACCACCTAATATATATTGAAGGAATCAGAATTGAGACTAGCCCTTACTGAACACCAAACAAGGCTCCATTTGATCAGCGCTTGTGTGTGAGTCAGCCCACTTCCCCATGGAGGCTTCCATAGTCTGGATCTCTCTCCATCACCTTGGGACACTGCGCCTTGTCTGTAATGTCAAGTGGCTCATAGCTTCCTAAACTAGAGGCTCTTTCCCAACTGTAAGCCTTTGCTTGTGCTGTCTTCTCACTCCTAAACCTTTTCATCCCATCCTCTTCTCAATCTAGAAAAGGACTGCTCAATCCGGGTCTCCCTTCAGCTGTCACTGTGTCATTAACCCATTGTGAGTCTGGGCTGATGACCCTCTGATGCATTTCATAGCCTCATAGCCTTTATTTCTGCCTAGCACCTGTTGCCTCATATTGAAATTCGCTAAGTCTTGTGAGGGACATTTTATTTCTCTGTCTTCTCAGTGTTGGGTTAGACTAGATAATTAGATTAGGTTACCTGGCAGGTGGTAGACTCAAGACAAATGTCTGTATGTCTTAATCCTTCATATACAGTAATATATTCACTCATTACCTTTTTAAACTTATCATTAGCAAGGTGTGGGTAAACTTCATATTTTTGTCCTCGAATTTAAGAGAAGGAAGGTACCACAACCCAGAGACTAGAGCAATGAGAAATGCTTTCTGAAGAGGCATCCTAAAGCACATGTGTGCATACTCCCATGCAAAAGGATGATTCTAGAATGGTGCAGGTAATTCTGGACTCTGATGCCTTCCTGTCTTATATGTCAGTCACCTGTCTGCTCTGTGCTGTTGTATCCTTTTCCTCATCCCAGAATTCTCCTGCCTTGACATTGTTTTAGGATCAGAAATGAGAAAGGAGATAATGAAAATCATTCCTTTTTGCTCTTCTGTTTAGTGATTTACATGGAATTCTAGATATCCACTCCCTGACCCTGAATTAATGTGCTGGTTTTCCTGGAGTAGCCAGCGCAGTGCCTGGCCACAGCAAGAGCATGAGGGGCAAGCCGTAGTGCATCCTCTCCCTGTCCCCTTCTTCAGGTCAAGGGGTCCTCATGCAGCCACTTGGGCATCCCAATTTGTGTTGTTTGGAAAGATGAGAAGAGTGGTTCTGGCTCTCATTCCTGCCTGAGTGGTGAGGGCCTGATGGGAACAAGTTGCTGGGACTCTGAGCATGTTCTCCATCCTGACATGGCCTGATGGGAAAAAGTTGCTGGGACTCTGAGCATGTTCTCCATCCTGACATGGCCGTGCCTGTGACTCAGGATGGAAAACCATGTGGAAACTCACTGATAAGAAAAGTGGACTTTTGTGGGGTGGCTTAAGGATGAGAAACTCACATTAGGGCCAGGTTGCCTGGTAAGCCTGATGTTGGCGAAGGTCCGGAACAGGAGTCAACAGAACCTGAATTGGATGCCTGTTTCTCTTTGCTTCTGGAGCAAAGCTGGGACAGTACTAACAGGGATTCTAATGCAGTAAAAACTGGAGCCAGGGTGGGGGTGGGAAGCAATTACTCTGTTACCTCGAGTGAATATTACTCATTTGAAGTAAATCTCTTGGCATTGCCACAAGAGTATTCACATGCACATAAATATGCCAACAGGTATAATCTTGTACTTAGAATATTTGTGATGATTTTCAAATAGGCATGCCTTAACATAGTAAAGTGAAAGACCAAGAGTGAGTGCTAATTTAAGGAAATAAAACCTGTTTTTTATCAATAACTAGAGAATCAGATATTAATGTGATGTCATTTATAAGGCATCTTTGCACTCAGAGGCTGTGATAAATTTTCTTGCAGCTTACCACATGCTGAAATTTAGCTATTGCATCTTGGCAACCAATCCTTTTCAGGCATGGTGATGCAAGACGTGGCAATTTGCCATTACGTATCTCTCCTACTTCTTGTCATAATAACAGATTCAACTCTTCACCGTCACTTTTCTTCTTGCCTTGATCACAGAGGTTATTTTAGAAGAACAAAGCTTTTTGAAAAATATGAAAACGCAGTTGGCCTCAAGACTAATTGACAACATTTGTCCTTCTGGGCTTGTACTGTGGATGGCCCAAGGTAAATACTCTTTGAACAGTGGTCTAGAAGCATAGAGGGACGGTACCTCACTTAGCCTATCTTTGTAACATTCTTTTGGGAAATAGCTCAAAATCCATTTTTATATTGTTTTGTTACTGAAGGAAAGGAAATCATAACCTTTTTCTCATAGCTGCTCAAATGAGCAGAAAAATTGAAATCTGTGTTCTAGTTTGCCACCTTCCTCTCTAAGATTTGTAAATTGAAAACTATTTAATTCTCTGACTACCTGGTCAATATTGGTAGAGAATTCTCTTGAAAGTTAAGGTGGTTGTTAACTTGGTTTCCCTCCAAGGTTTGGGGAACTGAGTTCAAATTGAGACACTTTCTAAACCCATGTTTCTCAACTGGGGGCTTTTTAACCCTTTGGGAACATCTTGTCATCACCACTGGCAGGGGGTCAGCTTCTGGCATTGAGGAGGATTGAGGAGCCCTGTGTTAGGCGACTGCTGCCTCAGCTTCCATATGTTTTGAAGAAGACACTTTTCTAGTCTGCAGTGTTAAGATTACTGGTCTCCCCTGGAGTCCTCAAAAATCATGATTTATTTATTTTTTTGCCTTTATCTAATATGGTCTTAAAGTCATAGTGTTGTAGAAGTGGAAGGGATCTTAGACATTATCTTTATGCAAACGTTGCAAGAGTCTGCAAACCACAGACTGCAGATCACAAAGTTTTATTGGAACATAGCCCCGCCCTTTCCTGTGCCGAGTGCCTGCCAGAGATGATCATTGATAAGTTTATTGGAACACCAGCTCACACATTCCTTTACCTATTGTCTGTGACTGCCCCATCAGTAGGATTGGGTAACAGACTGGCTGTGGAAGCCTAAAATATTTACTATCTGATCCTTTAATAGAGAGTTTGTCATCTGTTATTGTACCTAATACAGGGCAAATTCTCTGTATTTCCGGAATGGACAAGTGAACACAATCTGATGTAGTGTAATTTCTTGTTTTTGCCTTTTTTTTAGTTT